TGCTGAACCACATTAGAAGCATTCCCTTTTAGTGATTTCCTATTGATAAATATATACTGAGACCTCTCAGCTAGACAGCTCTTATTTCATATATACACATTTTTTTATTGTTAGTTTTAAATCAAAATGTCAAACAATACTAAGTCAGATGCCTTAAAAAACCTAAGTTTATTATAGCTGCATGGGTAACTATTGACTAAACTGATAGTCTCATCAATAAATGAAATCAAGTTATTTGAAAAGAATTACTTGTAATGTAGTAAGTGCCTCCCTCCCTGACACGGACTTTTTTCCTCATCTCCTTTCTGGCAGCCTCTTCTCTCTTTCTTTCTTATTTACCTAGACTATCTCCAGTTTGATTGCCTCTGGTCATGGAAGAATCACTCTCTTTTCCCTTTACCTTATGGTTATGGGCCACATGTCAGCTAAGAAGTCAAAGTTATTTTTTTCTTCTTATCGAAACAATTCTCCAGATCACTGAACTCTACTTCCAATGCCTTACAGCCATTTTCTCCAGGCATAAGTTTGTGAGGGATTCATCTTGGATAAAAGCCCACAGTAAATGGAATTTTCCAACTTAAAAATTTTTTTTTATATAAACGTTCAGTGGTCATGCTTATCAAAAGTGATTAGTATTAAACAGTATGTGAGTGGTCAAATAAATTCAACAATAGGAAAACTGAATGACCCTAAGTAAGGGTATGATTCATTTTCAAAACATAGCAGTAAATGGTGATGCATATCCAGTTTCAAGACTAATGAGAAGGTAAATGATGTCAATTAGATCTTCTGCAACCTAGTATGTGAAAAATCAAAGTTCAATGACCTACTCAGGGCCAAATCTTTTGAATGTGTTAAGGTAAACAGAAAGGTAATGATGAAAGGTGAAGTAGCACTAGAACAATTTTAAGTTCACAGGTATCTGTACAGTATCAGTGCAACACTATTAAAAAATGGCACCGTGGGAAAATCTTGCTTCACGTGTTAAGTCAAATAGAAGTGCGTACATATTAGAATAAAGCAAAAGCAGTCAGTCAATGAAGCTGAAACATCTGCCAATTTAGGTAACCTAATATAAGAATACTGATTTTTCAACGCCATGGTATGCATGTTGCATCAGCTAAGGGTATGGAAAAAACATTCAAACACTTTAAACAGGGAAAAGGAGCTAGAGAAAAGGAGCTGATGCTCAGGAGCATGCATCAGGTGCTGTGCTGCATTCTGTATAATCTTGTAGCAATACAAATGACTTAAATCATCCAAACTTTGAACCTGAATTTAGCAGTTTTGCTACATTTGTACTGCTACAGATTTATGCAGATATAACAGTTGCATCATATAATTTTGTACTGGTATCCTTTGATATCAATTGTTATATCTACCTATGCCCTTGCACTTTGAAAATTATTTATAGATAGGCTAAGGCAGTGTCAAACTCCAGATATGGACCATGGAACTTCTTGGGGGATGGATCTGGTGGTGGCGATGAAACAAACAGCTGTAGTATAAGTCAGCGGTTCTCAATTTTTTTTGTACCAGGACCCATTTGTAAACATTGATGGACACTCCTGACCCAGTAAAGAGTTTAAGTAGAAAACAGCCCCCTGGCCCTGCCATTGCCCCTCACTCCCGACCAGCTGCTCCCCACCCCCAGGCCCCAGCCTCCCAGTAGGTAGGGCAGGGGGTGGGTGTGTGGACAGGGGGGTGAAGGCGGGGCATGGGCAGCCCAAACCAGCCCAGAACTCTGCCAGTCTGCAAGGGAAAACCCAGTTTCTCACATTTTTCTCATTTAAAGGAGAATCCATTTTTAAAGTTTGTTTGCGACCCTTTCATATATTCTTGTGACCCACTTTTGGGGCATGATCTACGGGTTGAGAAACGCTGGTATAAGCAACATCAGGGAGCCACAAGGGGTTAGTGAACCCATTGCTTGGCCGGTCCCCAAATTCCCAGCCATTCTAAGAGCCCTGCAGGCCAGATGATACTCTTGTTTGGCACCCCTGGGCTAAGGGAATCAGACTGTTAGGAAGTCTGATTTTGGATAAAGAAGTCTAAGTTACACCAACAAAAGCTTCTGATCTGAAACATGCTTATTATTTCTTCGTTATCTAAGTGTTAAAGTGAATACTGAATTACTGTGTTGAGAGGATATGCTGTATGATTAAATCAAGTACTAAAAATGTCAACTGTAACACACTGTTGTTTTAAAAAAATGACAGGAATTTGGAACTGGAAGATAGATAAATACTAGTTTGGTGCAACAAACTATGAGGCAACAAACTGGGTACATTAAAATTAACTCTATAGAATATAGAACCTTATCCCAATCATCTGAAGAAATACTTAGAGAATTTAAGCACCATCAGTCTCTTTCTGATATAAATTCTTTTTAACTTAAGAGAAGCTTATCATATATACCCCCTATTATTATAAAAAACAAACTGTGCACCAAGTATTACATCTGCAGTTTTAATTATGCATTTTGTAATGTAATATGAAACTATAAAAGCATTTTCTATGGTATGCACACATGGTAAAAAAATACCGAAGTAAGGGCTGGCCCCAAAATGTGCCAAACCTGCAGCACCCCCCACAAAGACAAAATACTTTAAGAGGCACCACTATGTCATCACATGCCCCCAAAGCACATTTGAGAGGCACCTCGTCTTGTTTCTCCCTGAAAAACCCTACCATTCCAAAACCCTACACCAACTGAGAAGTGTCTTGTCATCTTCTTAACTCGCCTTCTTAGGGCCTTGTTACACTAATTTTAAGTGGCTCCTGGAACTCTTAATCCTTGGATTATCCACACATTAACACCTGAAACTAGTTTTAAGCATACTTTAGACAGCTTAAAGTTTCGCCACTCCAGGACAGGCTCATCTCTGATCTGTGTTACCCAGCATCTGTTCCATTAATGTGTGGTCACTTCCCACAGATGAGCCACCCATTCCATTAACTTTCTGCCTCCTGGCTTCATGTTCCTGCCTCCCCAACCCTGCTCTGCAACACCCCCCCCCCCCCCCCCCCCCTAATTTACAGCAGGGATAGAAGCCTGCCCTGGCTCACCAGTTCTCTAGTTGCAACTTACAGCTATAGCCCGTAGTCCAGCCCCCGCTTACCAGCCCTAGAGTGGCAAGTCAGAGGTGTGAAGGTGGGGGGACATGCAGAAAAGGTTTCTAGCCTTAAGGTGCGACTGCTCTAAACTCAAACTAGGACTAACTAGAAGTGCAGTGTGTAACAAGGCCCTTACAGTAGCCCTGAAATAGACATATATAATATGTTTAAGGATTCAAATTGTATTTTTTTTAAAACACTTGTAATTTTAAAAGCAGCATGAGAACAAATCTATATTGCCCTTGACTCGTATATTCCAAAGGTTTTAAACTCATAACAATAATTACTTTAGCAATGTTCATTAAAGCTAATTTGAATTACTGAAAGTATAAACTTGTTTTTAGAATCATCTTGTAAGACCTCGGACTGCAAGTAACATAAAACTATAGTACTTAATAATGCAGATTATTTGATACTAGTAAACGAGAGATTAAACTTTATTTGTAGTTTTAGAGGAAAATGTAACTCAAATGTGGAAAAACAATGCTGAGAGGTTTAAGAAACTGACCTTTTTTCTAAAGCTAAGTTGTCCATATATAATAGCTTGCTACTTGATTTATTTTGAACAGTCCCTGACAAAAAAATTAAAATGTCCTAAAATCTTGATAGTGCACTAAAAACAATTAAATACCTACATCTCCCACTGATATATAAAATCATCCTTTCCATGTACAATAGAAACTTCACATACCATTGACACATTCAAAGACATCACAGCACTTGCCAGGTGTTCCATCTCCACGTGAGACTATTTGAGGAATGGAGCCTGCCTCGCACATGGGGAAACCACATAGACCAGAGAGACACTCGCACCTGAAACCAGAGAAAAGGAAGGGAAAACCCCATAAATAAATTAAGCCACATATGAGGGGAAAGCACAGGCAAGGTGAAATAGTAAGCCGGGCCCAAAGAGTTATTGTTATATGAATATTTTAGAATCACTTTTTATTAACACAGTGAACACAAGTTAAAAAAAATCAACCGTTTGGTAAGTAACTCTCTAAACTCTTCTGCTGTAGGATTAAGTGCTAAGTGGTCATGAAAACATAGAGGGGGTTGGATGGAAGTATTCCGATCTGCTATACCAACATTTTTGAGCAATAAACACTTAGGGACAGGTTCAGAAAGCAGCATGCACAAAAAAAAATCTCTAGTTTGTGGGAGACTTCCCCACAAAGTTGTTTCAGAACTGCCTAAATTAATAAAAATTGACAGCAGTATCCACAGCTAAAATACTGTCTCACTTCTTTATTCCCAAATTGGTCTGAATTTAGGGATGCACCAACACAGATTTTTGGGGCTCATAGCCAATTTTTAAGGAGGCATATCAGCCGATACTGATCAGCTTTCCAACACGCAGCCTGGCAGCTTGAAGAGTAGTGTCTGGCTGGTAAGTCTCTTGTGATGGAAGGGGCGGGGTGGGGAAGCAGATCAAGGCCACTGCGGTGAGGGAGGGAGTTTGATGGGGCAGGTGCTGCCCAGCTGGAGTGGGGTGGGGCATGGGACGGAGCCACAGCTCATCCGGGGGTGGGGGGGGGGCGCTCCCACTGCTACATGCACCCTGGGAGGGCATAGGGGGCATGTGCCCCCAGCTCTGTGCACAGGGCATGGCACACTGCCGCTGCGGGCTGGGACCATGGCTGCGCTGGGCTCTTTCTCGTGGAGGGTAAGGGGGGACTGGGCTGGACTGCACTCAGGGCATGCAATGGCAGCAGTGGGAGGGGGTGCTATGTGGCGGCTGCAGCCACCCCAAAATTTGCCACAGCACCCCCCCACACACCCCTGCCACCCACCCTGAGTGCAGCCTGGCCCAGCCCCACCAGGAAGAGCCCAGTGCAGCCCCAGGCCACAGCAGCAGCCTGTTCTCACCCCACACACAGATCTGGGTGTACAGGGTCCCATGCCCTCCTGGGGTGTGTGCAGTGACAGGAGCTGCCTCACCCTTCCCACACCCCCTGGACAAGCCACAGCTCTGTCCCATGCTCCACCATGGCTGGGATGTGCAGTGCCTGCCCCAGCCCCACTCCCTCCCTCACTGTGGGGGCCTCAATCTGCCCCCCCACACCCCTTCTCTCTTCCTTCCTCTTCCACCACAGATTTACCAGCTGGAAGCAGCTCTCCAAGCTTCTGGGCTGTGCTCCTCGCTGCCTATGTGCTGCACTGCGGCTGCATGCAAGCACTGGGCATTTATCAGCCAAATTACTGGCCACATCAGGCAAAAAAGCCAATTTCCAATACAGTCAATTTACTTTATATCAGTGTTGATCCGATATCAAACTAATGTATCAGTGTACCTCTATCTGAATTGGGCTATATAGGGAGACAGAAAGAAAAATAATAAAATATTCTGGGGAGAGGTGGACATGCCGGAGGGCAGGGAACAGCTGCAAGCAGACCTGGAAAGGTTGGACAAGTGGGCAGAAAACAACAGAATGCAGTTCAACAAGGAGAAATGCAAAGTGCTGCACCTAGGGAGGAAAAATGTCCAGCACACCTACAGCCTAGGGAATGACCTGCTGGGTGGCACAGAAGTGGAAAGGGATCTTGGAGTCCTAGTGGACTCCAAGATGAACATGAGTCGGCAGTGTGACGAAGCCATCAGAAAAACCAATGGCACTTTATCGTGCATCAGCAGATGCATGACGAATAGGTCCAAGGAGGTGATACTTCCCCTCTATCGGGAGCTGGTCAGACCGCAGTTGGAGTACTGTGTGCAATTCCGGGTGCCACACTTCAAGAGGGATGCGGATAACCTGGAGAGGGTCCAGAGAAGGGACACTCGTATGGTTAAGGGCCTGCAGACCAAGCC